TAAACTGCACCTACAAAGTTTGCCCTTCTCTTCATCCGTCGTTGTCTCCCACGAGCAGCCCAATATACACCCTGACGTCCTAACCCCTTTGCCTACAATTGAGCCAACTTGAGTGGCATGATTAGATACAAACTACTGCTACTAACTCCATATCAAGTTAACCCTATTATTTCGGCAAATGTGGTTCCACAACCTGTTTTAGATATTAAGCTGGAAATTATTTCAACTTGTGTTGCGTAATTGATAATCGATGTCGTCCATCGAACTGTGTAATATTCAGTAAATTTACTCTTCTTCTCATTCGATTACTTTCGTTTCGTAGTTCTTGATAGATAGTAAGTCATGTCCCAATATATTCAATGCTGAGATGTTTTTATAATTCATCTACCATCTTCATGTTAGTGAAAGTAAGAACTGAAATAGTTAAATTCATCTAAATATGTTATGAAATGAGGTCCTACATTGAGTATTTTATAGTTATTACTCTTAACTGTTCATTTTCTTATCTTCGAAATGGGTACTTTACCGCTAAGTTTCCTCAATCGTAAAGCAGCTATTTACTTAACTTTACTTAAGTCCTTAAAAACCAAAAAAAGTTTGACAAATCCAAATGAGCATGCCTTGAGCGTTTATGTTATTTGTCACGTATGTATGCGTGTATATAATAAAGTTGATCAATTCATTCATATACTTTTGTGAAAACGTATTCTATTATCAACGGCCATATCACGAATCAGTTTTCATCAGGGCCCATTAGCTCAGATGGTTAGAGCGTCGTGCTAATAACGCGAAGGTCGCGGGTTCGATCCCCCCATGGGCCAGTTTTTTTTATGAAATGTATTAATGGAGTTTATCCTTTTTTTTCTCCACTAATTAAATGAAAAATGAATATATATTATGTAAAATGTACAACCAAAAAAAACAATCGTAAGATGTAACGATGAAAACAAAAAAAAATTATGTCACTGCAATGTGACGCCAGGACTGACCATATTGTGTTTATGAAACTAGAATTTTTAACGGCGCGCATTCGCGCGCCCCCTATCGGAATTCTAGAATGAATTTATCCTCTTCGATTTATATCGATATATTGATATGTTCACGTACCAGGAGATTGACCAATAGTAACTGAGGAGGGTTTATATTCTACCAATAAGGAATCAGGTTCCATTTTTTCGACTATTGACTAACTTCAAACTGTCATGTATTTTTATTGTAGGGATTAAGACTGTAAGATAAGCTATTTGTTTGTTTAAGCATTATAATGTTTTTAAAAATATAATTAATTCAGAACAGAAATACATACACTTTTTTTTTAATTTAGAAACAAACAAAAAATATCGCTCGAACAGGGACTTGAACCCTGGACCCTCAGATTAAAAGTCTGATGCTCTACCGACTGAGCTATCCGAGCATGAAGGATGCAAATTTCTATGATTTACAAAAACCTAAAGTTCCACGGAAACAGCTTTTAGAGATATGACAACTATCGTTATGATATTATGCATCAAAAAACTCTACCGTTACACAAAATTTCATCGCTTGTATCCAACATGTCGTTCACCTAATAAATCACGTTTCAATTATATACAGACGTAATGTATAGACATGTTATCCGCAAGGTTGTATAATTATATATCCAACCGCAAATAACACTTATCATCTACAAAATATTATACCTGCTGTGACAACCATGGTTAAAGTAGATGTCTAAGATAGCGGATGATGTAAATTCAACGTTTCTATAATATAGCCTAGAGTCTGTATCGAAATACTATTACACAATTTCAACTTTGTTGCTTTTCTAAATCGATTGATGACACGACCTAAAAAGTTATTCTAATAATAATAAGTTCAACCCAATCATTTTTTTAGTCATCTCAATTATTTTTAAACGACACGTTGTAAATAATGGAAATAAGCATCGATTTTTCATTCGATAATACTACTACAAACTTTTTCAATGTCTACTTAGTTTGAAAATCGATATTCCAGAAGAAAAAGTCGTTTTCTCAAATTATGTGAGTATTATGAATGAAAGATAGCACTCAGTAGCTTTCTCTAACCCTTAACAATATTTATTCATCGTACAAACAATCACAAAAAACAAGCTTCATAAGCCTTCAAATCAACTGCAGCTTAAAAATACTATTTTCACACATTGATATAAAAAAAATTCAAAAAATATCGCTCGAACAGGGACTTGAACCCTGGACCCTCAGATTAAAAGTCTGATGCTCTACCGACTGAGCTATCCGAGCCATGCAGGGTTAAAAAGCTATATTTTATTTAAACTAAGGACAACTCTTCAATCTAGTTTTAATTTAATTGTCTTTTTAATCCGTTTATTCGCATAATAAATATCTTATTAAGATTCCTCAAAGTTTCTGTACTATTGATCAGTTCTATTAACTATAACTGAAAACTTACAGTTATAGTTTATAAAACCATCGCTTACCAGTTCTTGTTATCGTAAAAACATATGATACTCGGATGAATAACAGCTTGAAACACCGTGTACTGTAGACTTTTTTTTGTCAACTCCAACAATTGACCTTTTTTTCATTCCGATTTCATATTCCTTTTTATTATATAATTAAGAAGGCTCATAAATTATATATTTACAAGTACTTCTTAAGTACATTGTTCCTCTTTACATTCAGCTTTATTCTTTAATCCTTTAAACTTTTCAGAATTTTTACATATTTTTTAATAACTAAAACATATCTCAAGACTATTTTATCTTCTTCCATTTATCAAATACATTATTTCATGTACTTAAGCCCTCATACCTTACACGCTGTAATTAACAAATTGTAACCTTGAACTTTACTAATAGAATTTATTACACTAACATTACGAAACACTCAACATTTACAAGTAAAATTATTTTTAAAAAATTGCATTTATTACTTTTTTTTCCAACTTTTAAATATGGAATTTTTTTTAATTTTTCTTATGATAATTGATTTGTTAAAAAAAATCCTGTAAATTATCCAACTTTATTCGATTTCAGGATTGTTATAATAACGCTGTATTTAAAATTCACGATTCTACACTGTTCTTCAAAGTTTTAAAGTATATTAAGAGTTTTTGCTGTAAAATTCTGTAAAAATTGATGTAAAATGTTTAATCATGTAATATTTTATTTACATTAATATATCAACATCAATATTATCCAAGTTATTATTTTTTTTTATCGAAAATAAGGCTTTGGTTAAACCAATGCAGCCAACTTTTACAAAATTTTCATCACGTATCAACAATACGCTTATATGATACTAAAAATCATTAACGAACATCTAAAAATTCTTGAAATTTTTATAAAAAATCATTTATTGTAAAAAGAATATTTTAAAAAAAATTCGCACTTTTAATTTTTAAAAATTTCTTCATGTAGAATTTTTTTGTTAAATATTTTCCATTATAATTTAATTGTTATAAGGATCTAAAAACTTTTTTTGCTCGACGGGCAGAAAGCGTCAACTTTCGGCCCGCTGCGCTAAACGAAGTTGCCCCTTTCTGCCTTCGTCGAGCAAAAAAATAGTATACACTCCACGGGAAGTAAATAAGAAAGCCTCAGACCACATGTTTGTTGACCTCGGCTTCGCCTCGGCCAACAATTACATGTGGTCTGAGACATTTCTTACTTTACTTCCCTAGGTGTGTAATATACTATTTAGGTCTGTTAAATTCAGTATCATTACGCTGAATATATATCCAAGTTATTCTTTTTTTTTTTTTTTTTTAGGTATAAGGCGTTGGTGTAAACCAATATAGCCAATCCAAGTTATTCTTTTTTTTTTTTTTTTTTTTTTTTTTTTTATTAAAAAAGGAATATAAAATATAAGGCGTTGGTTTAACCAATGTAGCCAAATCCAAGTTATTCAGCTTCTTCTGAATAGTGTCGCCATCTGACGATCATTACAGAAAAATATCTCAACCGAGTTTCTTCTTTATCGACTAACCCATATCAGGTGTTAGTAAGATCTCGACTCAAAGTAATGTATCAATATAACAAACGATGATAGATTTCTCATAACGAGACCTCTCTTTGTCTCTCCTTTCAATTCACTATATCAAACAAGCACCGACGCGCTTTATTCGTTTAATTTCAATTGAATGGAAATTCGATCCTTCATATAAACAAATTCAACGCTTCTTTGTCTCGTGCATAATTTTTTAAACGACACTAAGAATTAATAATTAACACTCGCTTGTTAAAAAATAATTAATTAAACAAAAATTAACACTTGTTACATTCTACTGTGCTTAAACGACTACGCAGTCATTTTTTTAAATACTTACTGTTTGTTTATTTGCAACTAACTTTTACATGGTTTTTTAAATATCATTGTTATTATTATATTTTATCCAATAATTCACTAACTAATTTTCTTTTATTATTAAAATTATTAAACAATCACGCTGTTTAGAATATTAAAACAAAGTGCAGCCGCGCTTCGATCTTGCTTTTCTCACAGCCGACCCGACACTGTGAAAAGTGTGAAAAGAAGCGGTTACTGCGGGACCGCTAGTTGTGTGAAAATTAGTTGTTTCCCGATACATGTTGCCCTCTAAACTAATTTTTCTATTTACAAAATTTAATTAAGAAATAAAAGTTTGTAAGTTGTAAAAAATAAGTAGTGATAAATTTAGCAGATATTTAATAATTTTAAATATTTTTTTTTACAAATAAATTATGGCAAAAAAAAATATAAAAAAAATTGACATGTAGAAATTAAAGAAAATGCAATTTTTTAAAAATTTTTTTGTTAAAAAAAATTAAAAAATTCTCTAGTGACTGCTAACTTTAATGTCTTAAAAAATAAAAGTTTGTAAAGCTAATGATTTTATTTAACAGTGAATACAGATATAAAATAAAAAAATTTTGTGATATTTTCTGAATAATTTTACTTAGAAAATAAAATATTCTACTATACTATTGCATAAATAGATTTGTCAGGTCGATTGTTTTATAATTATTTCAATTAACTTGAATCAATGACATTGAAAATAGTGTATGATAATTTCATGATCTGAAAAATAAAGATATAATTCTCTCAGTGAAAATTAATAACAAAAATTCTATGCAAATATTGTTTTTTATTCTTAAAAGAAAAATTTTGATTGTGAGATAGACAAGATTATATTTTAAGTTCAAAATAATTTATGTAAATTTTATGGTGACACGACAAAATCTCCCCGACAAAATCTAATTTTAAATAATTTTTAATAATAATATTATTATTCCTGACAGTTGTGATGGTATTTTTCGTGTAAATATACACAAAAAATCATGATAAAAGGGCACAACGAGATTTTGAAGCGTATTTTGTTCGGGGAGATTTCGTGGTACAACCAAATTTTATGAAACTGAAATCAGTAGACAGCTGATGATTTAAAAAAATTTTTTGAATTAAAAAAATAATATAAAAAAAAAATTTAATTTCGTTTTTTGGAATTTTTTTCATTGAAACAACGGCTTAAAAATTGTTAGCTATTTATTGATTTTAGTGTTATTAAAATTTATAAATATGAAAAAAATATATACTAACTTTTTTGAAGGAATCTAATGATAAATCAACAAAATATCCACTGACGAAAATGACATCTTTAACAGTGTTTGACATAATTATCGTGAGCAATTTTTGAATTTCGACATCAACAATATACCAATTAGTTGAAAAAATCTTATGACGAAGATTTTCAAACTGTTGATGTGAATTAATGCATATATGAAAATTATAACAAATAAATAATGATTAAAATATTTTTTTAAATAAAAAAATTTTTTTTTAATTTAAAAATTTAAAAATTAAAAAACTATATTGTTAATGAAGTGTCTATTTTTAAATTTAAACAAAAAATTATTTAAATAAAGAATAAAAATTTAACTATTTTTATTATAAAAGAAAAAAATTTTTTTAAGCAAATAAAATTAGTAAAATAAATAATTTTACCTCAAGAGTAATTTGATGTGCAGAAGCGCACTGTCCGAATTGTTGAACGCATTTAAGAATAAAATAAAAGGCATTGACTACAAGTGAAATATCAAAGCCAGATCGGCTTAACAATAATGTCAATGTACACATAACGAAAGAATTAATAACATAATGAATAAAAACAGTTTCTGCAAATAGTCTATTAGCTGATTTAAATAAACTAAAAATAATAAAACAAAATAAATAAATTTTATTATATATTGTCAATTAACAAAATCATAAAAAGTTTCAAAAATAAATATAACTCAACTGTAAAAGTGCTATATGACTTTCAACCCATCGAGCGATTAAATATTTCCCAGAATTTTCATTTGATTTTTTATCAATTGAATTGTCATTACCCTTTTCATCATCATTTTCTTGTAATTTTTCAATAATCACTTCAAAACGATATTGAAGTAGACGAATTTTAGCACAAATTTGCAGCATCATGCTTGGAAATAGTACTCCAAAAGTTGTATTTACAATTCCAATAGTTACAACAGTGTAAGATTGACTCGCAGCAGTTATCCAAAAAATTTTCGGCGCTGAGTAATTAAATGGCATTTTACTTCTGTAGGGCAATACTGTGGGCATACTTGTTTGAAAAGCATTGAAACCTGTGTACCATAGAGTAGATAAAAGACCTAACGTCAGGCAAACAAAATTGACAAGCCTGTAAAATAAATTTTCAAACTTGAATTTTTTAATTTATTAAAAATAATCATAATTTGTGATGCGTAAAAGAAACCCAGTTTTACCTAAAATAAATAACCCGATAAATAAAACATTAAAATTTTAAAACATATTAAGCTCTATTAATTAATTTCATACCTATTGATGTCATCGTATTTCTTTTGTATCAATATTTCGTCTTCATTCCTCAAATCAAATGGCTCGCTATGAAGATAAATATTAAAATTCAACAGCTCGTTTCGTTTTTTTACCAAACAATATATTTTAGCAAAATTTTCAATAGATTGAAGCATCAGAGTGATTATGTCTATAGACCCGAAAAAATCTAGATGTAAAAAATCAATATCCATCACTCCGGTTATAAAAAATAAATTATTCATCAATACGACGAAGAAAGTGTAGCAATTGTATAAAATTGCTTTCAAGCCCGTCCATTCAATTGGTCTCCAGAGCCCAACAGCCATGAAAAAATTCCAGTAAATAGTTAACAAAGCCATTTTGTTTGTGATTAGTTTTTAGTTCGAATACTAAAGTAATATTTGCAATGAATAAAATGTTTGAGCGGATTGTAAGTTTAAATCGAACAATAAACTTTCCACTGTTTCTTTTGTCAAGAAGACGCCAGAGTGTGTCTGGTACTCTAATCATCTAATCAACTATGCAAAATTGTCGTTAATATTATAATGACGGAAAATTGAAATTTGGTTGATTTATTAATGCCTTTAATCATTTTGATAGCAGATAATAACTGTCCACTTATTATAAATAAATTAAATTCTAGGGAAGAGAAATTTTGTTTCATATAATGTAAAGACGGTCGATATCGCTCGGTTGTAACAAAGTAACAGGCTTCAGTTGCTCACAGAACTTCAAAGAACTAGCATCTATATAATAACTTGACTTCACTATGGATTTGCTTAATGAAATTCAGGACTTTTGTTTTACTACATTCACTGAAGATTTTATTTTGAAAGAATTAATACGTGATTTGTTTCTTAGTATTGAACATTTTATGACTTGTGATAATAATTCACTAACTTTTATTTTGGAGAAATGGAAAATTATAAGTAAAAAATAAAATAGTTCGATTACAAATTGAAAAATCCAAAAAAATGGTAAGTTTGTTAATAAATTTTTATCAACATATAATTTTGTTTTAATTTCAGAATTACAAAAGAATCTAATTTTATTTCATTGTTTGAAGCATTTTTATAATGATACGAGATAATACGAAGGATATTAATGTAAGTTAAAGTACTTAACTTCCAAATAAAAATTTGTTTTACTACCTACGAATAAAAGATGATTTTTTACAATGAATTTAATATTGAAATGCAAGAAAAATTATTGAAGAAGATATATGAAACTGAAGTTAGTCGACATCTGTCATTTTTGTGATTTTTACAACAAATAAATTACTAAAAAGAAAAAGTTTTTCAAAAAATTACAATAAATTTTTAACAGATCTAAAAGTGGAACTTTTTACAAAATTATTTTTATAATAATTTATTTTTTGAAAAAAATCATCATGTCAGCTAACTTCAGCATGATGAAGATATTAAATATTTTTTTTATATTTAAAGATTTAGAAAACACTTAATAAATTTTTAAAATACGGTAAGTAAATACTTTTCCATTACATTTTCGCGCTCTTTAAATTTTATGATAATTAAACTGATATTTAATAATTTTTGTATAAATAATAAAACACAATATTTAAAAAAATTAAACTTGTAGTTTTATTAATTTTTTACATAAGAATATTCTTCCTTTTTGTTATAAAAATTAATTAAAAAAAATATTTTATAACATTAAAATTAGCAGTCACTTGACAATTTTTTATTTTTTTATAACAAACAAATTATTTAAAAAAAATTGCATTTTTAATTTTTTAAAATTTCTACATGTTAATTTTTTCTTCCAATTTTTTTTGCTATAATTTATTTGTTAAAAAAATTTTAAAAATTAATAAATGTCTGCAAAATAAATTTCCATAAATATTTTAAGAAATGGCGGGAATTAAATTTGAATTTAAAAATCGCGGGATTTTCAAAATAAAAATCTCATTATCCATCAAGCTCTCAATAGCTAAGACCAACACAAGATGTCGCTAGTAGTGATACTAAGAGCTGAAATGACAACACGGTTGCAAGAGCAGACGAGCCGAAGCACAGAGCACGGCAGTAGAGAATAAACGATCGGCAAACGGGTACGTAAAACGTGAAACCTCGTCGTCAGTCTACATAACATCAACGTCTAATCTATATACATAAAACATAAAACTAGGAAGCTTGAAGCCTCCAGCAACTCCAGTAATATCGAGTTGAGTGTCTTAGTCTTTCAGCCGTCAGACTAGTTACTCAGTACTGAGTACTCAGTATATACCCAGTCTAGGAAAAGAACAAGTGCTGGAACATAGACAGCAATATATTTATATATACACATAACAAGTAATACATAAAAGTTGACCCTTCTGTCGCTTTTGCACAGTCACCATCGCCGCTGCTCAGTGCTACATGAAATTAAATGTGCATAACACTAGACCAGAACCAGAGCCAGTATTATCGCCAATTATCATCCTCATCGCATTCAATCACATCCTATATATCTTATTACCCAAGTACAGCTGAATAAATTAAATAACAGTCAGTGGTGCAGTGCGGTGCAATATTCCAATAACATTATAATATAATGTTTTAGTGTTATTATAATCACGTGAATTTAATTATACACTAGTAATTTATTTATCTGCTCGTAAAATTTATTTTAATAATCATTTATCATTTACTTTAATATTAACTATTAATATTAAAATCACTTTATTTTATTTTATGAATATGGATTATGTTTAATCCCGGTGTTTTATATTTTAGATTACCATATATATATTCTGAATGACAGACAATAGAATACAGTACAACGGTACCTAGACCAAGACTTCCCGGGCGTAGACCATAATATTTCAAATAAAAAATTATAGTTATTACTTTTATATATAGTTAGTTAGTTAGTTGATAAAAAAAAAAAACGTGATTTTAATAATAATTTATGATATTGCTGAGGATGATCTGATTGCTCATCATGACTGTAGATTTTGCTGATTATTTTTGGGTAAGTTTTTTATTTTTTTTGTGATATTAAAATGTTTTTTTTTTTTTTTAAATTGTTAGTTTTATTTTTATTTTAAAAATTACTGTCAGGTGTTTGATCTTTTCAGTAACATTTTTACAAAATTAAAATTAGCACTCGCAATTTTATAATTTTGTTTAACAAAAAAATTTCTTCCGAAAAATTAATTTGAAAAAATTGCATTTTTAATTTTTTAAAATTTCTACATGTCAATTTTTTTTTCTAATTTATTTTGCACTAATTTATTTCTTTAAAAAATTTTAAAATTTAGTAAATATCTGCTACTTTAATAAATATAAAGATGATACTAAAGTTAGCCGACGTTTTTGATTTTTTAATCATTAAATTAGAACAAAAAAATATTTTTAAAAAATTGCACTTACAGTTTTTTACAAATGAAATTTGTTTTCTTTTTTTTTTGTAAGTAATCATTTTTTCAATAAAAAAATTTTTGTTTTTTTTTTTTTAAAAAATTATTACAAAAAAATTTTTTCATTTGTTAAAAACTTCAAAAACTATAAATGTAATTTTTAAAAAATATTTTTTCGTTATAATTTAATAAATTAAGCAAAATAAAAAAATCAAAAATGTTGGCTAACTTTATTATTATCTTTAATTTTAATAATATTTTAAATTGAAACATAAAATAACAGACTATTTTCTGTTTTTATAAAAAAGTCAATTATTAACACAGAAAAATAATTGACACTAATTAAAATTAACCTTTTTACAATACTGAACTAGCAGAATTAAAATGTTTTTTTTTTTTTTATATAAAAAATGCATTTTTTTTAATTGCGCAAAATTATATTATAAAATATCAAAAAAAGAAATAGTAAAATTTTTATTAGGCTAGATTTATTTATAAATTTTTGTTTCAATTTATTTAATGATTAATTAATAATTAAAATAATCAACTATTTAAATCTGACGTCGGATGTGTTGTATAAATGATAAGAAAAATGAAAGTGATAAGTGAGTGAGGTTATTATAAGAATGTCGTAGATAAAAAGACAATCGAATAGTAAAAATGAATTGATATAAAGGTGCTATGTATGTAAATAAATGTAAATGTTAATTTAAAATTAATTTAATGTAAAAAACCTGTATATTTTTTAACGTAGGCTATTTAATAAGTATCAAGTGTATTTTATATACATATTATATATTATATTACATTACATTACGTTATATTAGGCATTTTATATTGGGTTGGACGTAAACGATAAAAGAGACAAAATATTTGTGAAGTAGAAGAGGAAAAAGGATAAGGATAGTTAGTGTCCTTCGACGCTTTTGTTTATTTCTCTTTCTCAACCCAAACTGTCGGCTTATCCTTTTTCTTCACGATCTTTCACCTTCTCTTTTTCTCACGTATTTTATTTTTTGCGGTCTCTCTTATGCTTGCTACTCAAGTCGGGTGTTATGAGATACAAAAAGAGGCGCGAGAGAGCAAGAGAGAGAAAATGAATAAATACGTTACATCTTTCAGACCGTTACTACTTACTACTGAATAATATTGACTATACATATAGTAAGCGTTTTTGTTACATGTACATATACGTACAAATCTTGTAAAATTATTCAAAATTTCAAAATATTATGTTTTATTTTTATTTCTAAGTTACTGGAGATTTTAATCCATTCAAAAATTTGGGATTATATTTTAATAATATTTTTTTTTAAGTTATTAAGTTTTTTACGATGTAACTTTAAATTTTTTAGTGACATTAAATTTAGTACACTTAAACATTATTTAATTTTTTTTAAAACAAATTTGTTTTTAGAGAAAATTTAGCGTCATTGCAAACATCTTGACTTGAATTTGTGCCTTTTCAAGGTTTCATATAATTCTCACCGACAGTCAATTTATTACGATAAGTACTTAGGCTGCATTCAAAAATTCTCGATCTCTAGATACATGATTAAGAAATGACGTTTTATCTTGTGAACTATTGACATTTGCAAAGATATAAGCTCATCTCGATGTTACATTCATCAAGACCTTTCATTTGAATACCCACATCAATTTTTTCATATATTTATATATATTATATATATATGTATATATAAAAAATATATCAAAATGCATATGGGTACTCAAATGAAAGCTCTTGATGAGTGTAACATCGGGATAAGCTTATATCTTTAAAAATGTCGATAGTTAAGAACGTACAGTGCAATTTAACATAATTAAGAAATGACCTTGTATTTTGTGAACTATTGACATTTTTAAAGATATAAGCTCATCCCGATGTTACATTCACCAAGACCTTTCATTTGAATACCCACATCAATTTTTTCATATATTTATATATATTATATATATGTATATATATATATAAAATATATCAAAATGCATGTGGGTACTCAAATGAAAGCTCTTGATGAGTGTAACATCTGGATGAGCTTATATCTTAAAAAACGTCAATAATTAAGAAAGTACATTGCAATTCAACAAAATTCATAGTGACTGCAAGGTTGCTAGTTTTCATAATTTGTTATTGTAAAAAGGAAACATTAGTTTATTAGATCTAAAATTTTTAATGTTAAAAAAAGAAATAAATTATTGAAATTTGTACTTAAGAAATATTCTAAATGCTTGTGTGCTATTTTACAATATTTGAATTTGCAAAAAATTATAAACTAAACTTTTTAATTGAGAAAATTTTAATGTCAATTAAAAAAATTAATTGTTTAAAATGTATATATAAGATAAATTAAATATTCATATATACTGATACAAATAATTTAGTTTATTATTAAAAAAATTAATAAAATAAAAAACAAATATTATGTTTGCAAAAAGAAAAAATAAAGAAAATTTTTGATTAAAAAATTACAATGTTAAATTAAAGGAAGTAGAAATGTACTTAACATTACAGATCTTTTTGTTTAAACATCCTTTCGTTATGAGCGAGTGCGTACTTACTTTGAATATATTCAAATAATGAATAAAACACATAACAGTGATACGTACGGTTGAGCAAACATTTTCATATATCTATTAAAATATTTAAGTATTTGTTTTTAATTTATCACGTGTAATCAGAGATACACGAGGACTGATAAAAATTGTATGCATATAATACAAGTATATATTTCATCGTACTGAAGAGGAAAAATGTTTTATATTATATTTGAAATAGCTATGCATACTTATATTTATAAATAAAATTGATACTTATTAATTAATAGTTGAAATTTACAAATGATTGTTAATTAAGGTTTTTTATTAAACAAAATAAATATTTTATTTAGTTCACTTGATACTGGGTGCTTTAAGCCAGGCGTTAATATCCATAAAACAAAGACCATTTGCATGGCTTAGAGCTCTTGCTTTTTTACAGGTGCACTGAGTGTAAAATTTAAAGTAGAGGGAAAAAGTTAAGAGTAATAAAGAGTAATGGGTAATGATAAAATACCATAGTAACATTTTAGTGATATACTTTTTATTATAATTTATACATACTTTCTGGTGAAAATACTTTTAAGAAATTTCAATGAAGTCATTTAGAAAATTTGTTATTTAAATACCTTTTTATAAATTGATACTTTAATTCATTTTTGAAAAATTTATTACATAACCGATTTCAAAGTACTCTATAATATACAAAAGAAAATTAAAAATGTACTTGTAAAATTTATTTCGTGCACTGAAAAAAAAGTTTTTTTCCACCCATAATACAAAATATTTTTATCCGTTTTTTTATTTCCAATGTACGTTTCTGGTATTTTTATATTATTTAATAAAAAAAACTGGTATTTTTTGTTTGTTTACATCATTGAAAAGTTGTCCTGGCTATAATTTATTGAAAAATTACTTAGATGTATTACAATTGATATCATAATCTGGATCCTTGGGTACGAAAAAAGTTGCTCGAATGGAATTTACATAATTAAAAATTAAATTTTTCAATGATTTAATCAATAATTAATTTAATTTTTTTTTAATTGAATTATTATGATTAATTAAATTTTCTTAAATTTATTCATAATTAATTTGATTTTTCTTAATTTAATTATAATTGATAAATTAATAATTATTAATTTATTAACTATAATAAAAAAGATCCACAGTATTATAAACACATCAATTGCATTTGTGTTAAATCAATTTAAATTAGCCATGTTTTTATTTTGGTATTTTGCTGAAGAATCACTATACTTTTTAGGAAAAAAAATTCTTTACAGGAGGGAAAAATTTTCTGGGTGGAAAAAACTTTTTTTTCAGTACGCCAATATTTTACCTTAATATTTACAAAAAAAATTTTTATTGATAATTCATTTTTTTTTATTTTATTCATGTCTATTCTGATGAATAAATATTACTTTAAAATATTTGTTTTAAATTTGAATTACTAAGCTTGATAAAACATCAGAAAAAACATTGAATATTAAAAACTTTTCTGAATAATTCATTAAATAATATTTTCATTCAATTATTTTAATAAAACTTTTCAAACATTTGAGAAAAAAATCCAAGTATAAAAACAAAATTAAATTTGTAAAAAATTTTATCAAAAATTTATTGAAGTATATTTTAATAAAAACCATTTTCAAATGTTTAGTGTATATAGTATATATGCTAAACACTTTCTTACATAAGTATTTAAATAGCCAATAGCTGTATACTATCTAAAAAAATATGTTTATGTATTTAAATTTAAATTACTACCCAGCATCGAATATACTAGATCAGCCTGTACATACACATAAAAAACAATGACGAGATTAATGAGAATCTATTGTCGTTAATATCATAATTTGCGAACAAGTGGGTACATATTTAAAAGCATAATATATGGAGAGAAAAAAAGATTGATGATAAAAGATACTCATACCCGCACAAGCACATGCGAATTATATATATTATATGTATGCAGACATATGAAGTACACAAAGAAATAATTTGTAGGCCGATCAATGTTAAAAAGCTAAATGGCTTTAATATATTTCAAGTTTCTCATCAACTTGTCATTTATGCTACAAATAACTCAAGCGTTTGTAAAAAAAATAAACCTTATTTTTTTTTCAGATAATTGGATAATTATATTTCGTTTTTGTAAATTATTTTCTCGAGTACCAGGCTTTACCTTGAAGTTTATTTTTTTATCATATCAGCAAGCTTCAATTTAGAACCTGTCGAATAAATGAGGCAAATTCAACCGGTAATAATTGATTATTTGTGCTTCCTTAGTTTGAATTCAAAAAAGAAAAAATTATTGAAATTACTTGCTATTTTTTGGTCTATGATAATGATGATGATGATGATGATGAGGATGAAGAAAAAGAAAATCTATGAAAACCGGTTGAACAAGTTGACCTTCTATTGGTCTGGAAAGAAAAACCACCAGGTTGACGAGAAGAGCACATAGCAGTACAAAGTCACATTTCGAGTTAATATTATTATGAGTTTTTACCCGATACAATAGGAAGTAAGGATAAGGGTAAGACCTGTAAATCATGGATAAAAGGATTGACTATAATGTTAAATAAAAGGGAAAAAGGTAAAAGAGCGTGTGGAAAGAAAAGAAATAAACAAAAAAATTAAAGTCAGTTGAAAGAAATTTATACCCATGAGGCTACTTGCTTACTTATTACATATAAAATACTGCCTACTATATACTGTACTCCGACAATGTGTGTGCTATGTGACTACTCAACGTCGTCTGGATGCTTGTCTCTTGAATTCTTTATCAATCATACCCCGTGATATTATGTGTATATATGTATACCTTGTGCGTCACAGACTGCTTTATAATAGAGTTGTATTGTACAATTGTCTTTTTTATTAGATGAAATTTTTATTTTTAACTTTAATTATTTGCTCGGATAATATTATTTCTGGTTTTAATATTTTGTCTTTATTTATCGAGATTATTGTTTTTTATTTTTAATAATTACTTTAATTATACTCAATTATCCGGTCGATTTAATAATTATGTCATTCTAATAATATTATTATTGTTATTTACTCTAAATAGAAATTATAAATGCGTAATTCTAGCAATTAATAATATTACTCTTGCAAAAAAAATTATAATTTTTTTAATAATTTGATTAAATTTAAAAAATTCTCAGATGTTAATTTCAGTATTATAAAAAACAAAATAATTTTTCTAACTTTAAAAAAAAAATATAATAACATGATTTTTCAGAAAAAAAAATTACTCATTAAAAACATTTTTTTATCTTCCATTTTTCTGATAAATAATTCATTCACTTTTTATTTATTCATAAAAACAAACTCATTCATATTTCAAATGAAAAAAAAATAAAATTTATGATTTAAATTTTTATTTACGGAGTTATAATCAAACATTATGACCTCCAAAATTTTTCTCAAACAATTCATACGCCTACTAAAATTACTACTCTTAATATCCCTTTAATTAAATCTATTTAATATTAATATAAATATTAAATTAGGTAAATATTTGTAAGTGGGGTCAACTATTTTAATTTTCATTTTTTTTAACGAAATTTCTATTTGATTTTATTGATAAATTTTTTTTTAAATACATAAAAAAATAAACAATTAAAAAAAAAGTTCAACTTTTTTTTTAAATTGTTCGTTTTTTTTTTTCTATGTATTTAAAAAAAAAATACATCAAAAAAAGATAAAATAGAAATTTTATCCAAAAACATGAATGCAAAAATTTTTTCCAACTTTTAAAGGCAAAAATGTTATCGAAATTTTTATTTTTTCCTTTCACGACATTTTTTATCATAAATTCGCCGTAAAAACAAGCAGAATAAAAAAAATTAAAAAATGTTTATTTTTCACCTAATTATGGGCTAAAATTTGGTCGACCTCACTTGTAAATAATTACCTTAATTATTTTGTGCAATATAATTATTACACTTAGTGATAATTCTAGAGCTTCGTTTAAAAAAATCGTGCCAATTTCTGAGATAAAAAACAATCTCCGATAAATAAAGCAAAAAGAAAAAATGAATAATTGATTTTTGTTACAGGGTGAAAAGAATAATGGATTCGACGTGTTGTATCATAATATGAAGCATGGTGTGGTGGCAAGTAAAGAGCTTGCGGATTTTCTGCGAGAGCGCTCGGCGATCGAGGAGAATAACTACAAGTTATTGAGCAAAGTTGCCAAACAAGCGAGCAATAGCAGCAGCATACAGGGAACATTTGCGCCAGTATGGGCAGCCTTGCGTGGAGCTGCAGAAAAATTGGCGAGTCTGCATCTGCAGATGGCCCAGCGGGTGTCGGAGCTGATAAAAGATGTTTCCAAGTACGCCGATGAGCTCCACAAAAGACACAAAGCTGTAAGTATTTGTAAACTCGTAAACATCCATTGATATTTAAATATCTCTTAAAACACAGTTCCTGGCTTCAAGATAAATCTCTCCGCTTATCGTACACACGCTTATCAGTATACGCCCACTTGGTAGAGTACTTTATAGAATAAATAAAAAAAAATACCATGAAAAGTTTCAACTGTCGTTAAAAAAAATGAATTGTGTGTGTATATAATATATATATATATATAACGAGATGATGGATTTCAGGTGAAAGAGGAAGAGTCGTCGACCCTCGAGGTCGTTCAGAATATCCAGAGTATCACGGTGACACTACAAAAAGCTAAGGACATGTGTCAGCAAAAAGGGCTCGAATTGGAGAAGTTGCGAAAGGATAATGCTAGCCAGCGGGAACTTGAAAAAGCTGAGGCTAAGTTTAAAAAAGCTCAAGATGATTATAAAGTTCTTGTAGATAAATATACCATTGTTAGAAATGACTTTGAAACTAAAATGTCTCAAGCCTGCAGGGTAATTTTATTTTTATTATTATTATTATTTATCTTTTTTAAGTATATGCATAAGATAAAATTACCGGAGTTAGATATGTCACATACAGTTTTGTTATAGTAATATTTTTTTAATTTTGATAAAAATGTCATAAATACTCTGATAATATTCAAAAATAATTTATCTGTATTGATACTTGTATCAGTATCAATATTTCTCATATGTCAAAAAAATGTTGAAATTATTGATAAATATGGTGACTAGTTTTTCTTATTCAAATTATTTAGATTAGTTTTTTGAAAAAAAAAAAAAAAAAATAATATTTATTGATGTACGAAAAAATTATTTGTTACAAACAGAGATTTCAAGATGTTGAAGAAACACATTTACGTCAAATGAAAGAATTTTTAAACACATACGCTGATGTTCTTCAAGCAAATCACGAGCAAGTTGGTCAAGTTCACATTGACTTTAAACGGCAGTGTTTAGATATGACGGTAGACAAACTATTGGAACAATTTGTCCAATCTAAATACACAGGATTTGAACGACCAGGTAATTATACTGAAATAATGATAATAATATAATCCATGATATATAGAGGGAAAAATTTTTGCCAAAATTTTAAAATAAATGATTTAAATGTTAGAACTCATGGAGAAAATATTGATCCTACAAAAATAGTTATAGAACAAAATTTGTGGAAAATTTAATTTTCGATAGAAAAATATCTTATAATTTTTTTAACCCTTTAGAGTCAGAGGATCTTGAAACGTCTTCGCGTGAGAGTAGTGGGGAGAGCGCAAATCCATAGTAAGACCCAAGAGTGGGGTTTCAAGGTCAGACTCTAAAGGGTTAAACTACTAATATTTTTACTGTAATTCCAAAATTAAGATTCACTAGCAACCTTGCGGTCACTACGTCACTGCCGTGACTTGTGAACTATGAATATATAAAATTTTGCTTTATTCAATAATGACTTTAGTTAAATTGCACTGTACTTTCTTAAATATTGATGTTTTTAACGATATCAGCTCATCTCGATATTACATTCATCAAGAGCTTTCATTTGAGTACCCATATGCATTTTTGATATATTTTTCATATTATATATATATATATATATATATATATATATATATATATATAGAGTGTAACATTGGGATGAGCTTATATCTTTAAAAATGTCAATCGTTCACGAGATACAAGGTCATTGCTTAATTATTGACATTTTTAAAGATATAAGCTCATCCCGATGTTATATTCATCAAGAGCTTTCATTTGAGTACCCACATGCATTTTTATATATTTTTCATATATACATATATATAATACATATAAATATATGAAAAATTGATGTGAGTACTCAAATGAAAGGTCTTGATGAGTGTAACATCGGGATGAGCTTATATCTTTAAAAATGTCAATAGTTAACGAGATAAAAGGTCATTTCTTAATTACGTATCTAAAGATAAAGCATTTTCGAATGCAGCCTATATTAAATACACTGGCCACAAAATTTTGCTTATTCTCTTAATAATATGGATGATGAATAATTCAAATTTTTGCTGGTTATTCTAATTTTGAAATTACGGCTTTCTTATTGGTTCTAAGAAAAAATTTTTTTTGCTCGACGGGCAGAAAGCGTCAAATTTCGGCCCGCTGCGCTAAACGAAATTGCCACTTTCTGCCTTCGTCGAGCAAAAAAATAGCATACACTCCTCGGGAAGTAAATAAGAAAGCCTCAGATCACATGTTTGTTGACCTCGGCTTCGCCTCGGCCAACAATTACATGTGATCTGAGACATTTCTTACTTTACTTCCCTCGGTGTGTAATATACTATTTTAGAAAATTGAATGTTGAACAACTTTTATAAAAAAAATTTTTAATATGACTTAATTTTAAAAAATTTGACATAATTGATTATCAATTGTTATTTTGAAATTGAGGCAAAAATCCTGGCTCCAATGATGTATAATAAAATAATTATGAATTAATTAGGAGTGGTAGAATACGACGAGGTGATGACGAGCCTTGCTGAGATGGCGAATTCAACCCACCAACCGGAGAGCGGCAGTGCTGGTGGAAGCATCGGAAGTGGTGGCGTAACTGCCGATACCACGGGAACAACAGCAGCGATAAAGGAGCCTCCGAGCTCCAAAAGCACCAACGGGGAAACAGGCGTTGCTGGTAACAAACAAAACAACAACACAACTAAGAAAAACCAAATTCAGACGGCTAAGGTTGTGGTGGGTGATTATCACGGGGACATTGCTATAGATTATAATCACGACAAGGATATTAAAGATAATAATAAAAAGTACAAGATTAAGGATAAAAATACAGATAAAGACGCTCCAACCAAAGGCTCACGTCGTACCACCTCGCTTCTCAACCTGTTTATGTCCAACTCCCAGGGTAGGTCTATTACTACGAAACACGAAATTAAACACAATTATTATTTATCGCGCTACCCTCGCATTTGCCTCAACACAAATTTATTGTAAAAGCAGACAATTTTTATTCATCATTTAACATTATCGCTTGATACTTAACTTTAACATGGAATGCTTTTAATTTACTGATATATTTTTAACACTTGACCTTGTCATCGTCAAACATCTGGCTTAGAGATTAATACTTTTACTTGGAATTTACATTTTTTTGTGTTGAGGCAAAGTCTTTTATATTAAGGTGGTCGTTAAAAATTAAATTTTTACAAATGCGTTGTAAAATTTTTTTTATAGTAAAAAAAATAAAAACGCAAAATTAATTTTTATCAACTATCTTAATATAAATTAAAATTACATATATATTTAATGGTTTTTGTAAAACAAAATGAGACTGATGTGATTTCAGCACATAGCTGGAATTATTTTAAAAATAGTCCACGCAAAACAAGTAAATTTAATTCGTTAATTTATACTAGCAATCTTGCACTATGTGACTGCCGTGACTTGTGAAATATAAAAAATGAAAATTTTGCTTTATTAAATAATGATTTTCGTTAAATTGCACTGTACTTTTTTAAATATTGACATTTTTTAAGGTATAAACTCATCCTGATGTTACACTCGTCAAAAGCTTTCATTTGAGTACCCACATCAATTTTTCATATATTTATATATATTATATATATGTATATATGAAAAATATAACAAAATGCATGTGGGTACTCAAATGAAAACTCTTGA